CCTATAATCCCAGCACTTTGGGAGGCCAAGGTGGCCCAGGCTGGAGTGCAGTGGTGCAATCATAGCTCACAGCAGCCTCCACCTCCTGGGATCAAGTGATTCTCCCACCTCAGCCTGGTTTATCCTTTATTAGACCCATTTTACAGATTAGGAAACTGAGATGAGCAGAGGTGAAGTCAGCCCTGCCGGGTCACAGGAGCAGCAGGTGGCAGAGCCAGAGTTGGGCTCAAGCTAATGCCAAGTGTGCCCCATTGGCCACTGACCCTAAAGATGTGTGACCGGGGCCAGGCGTGGTGGCTTACGCCTATAATCTCAGCACTTTGGGAGGCCGAGGCGGGCGGATCACGAGGTCAGGAGATCGACACCTTCCTGGCTAACACGATGAAACCCCGTCTCTACCGAAAATACAAAAAATTAGCCGGGCGTGGTGGCGGACGCCTGTAGTCCCAGCTACTCGGGAGGCTGAGGCAGAAGAATGGCGTGAACCCGGGAGGCGGAGCTTGCAGTGAGCCGAGATCGCGCCACTGCACTCCAGCCTGAGCGACAGAGCGAGACTCCGTCTCAAAAAAAAAAAAAAAAAAAAAAAAAAAATTGAAGTAAAGAAAAAACCATGCCAAAAGTTGTACCTAGAATTGTCATTCTGAGAGAGAGAGAGAGAGAGAGATGTGTGATCCGGAGGGTCCATGGCTGGTGTCATCCTCTTCCGGTTTAGGACCAGTGGATTTTGGGCACTGGAGCCGCCTCTTTGGCAAACAGCTTGAGGGAGAAATCAAGGGCTGGGGCCGCCTGGGTCAGCATCCCCATGGAGATGACGTCTATGTGCGGCCCGCAGAACTGAGGGAGGTTGTCCAGGGTGATGCCCCCGCTGGCTTCCACCGCCACACTTGGGAACTGGGCCTTCAGCGCGGCAGCCGTGGGGTGCAGCTCCTGCGGGACACAAGCGGAGGGGAGGTGAGAGCCCACCACAGACCCCTCCCCGGAGGCAGAGCCCACCTCACCTTCGGCTTGAAGTTGTCCAGCAGGACAAGGTCGGCACCCGCCTCAGCCGCCTCCACGGCCTCCTGCAGGCTGCTGCATTCCACCTCCACTTTCAGAGCGAAGTCGGCCGCCTGCCGGGCCGCCCGCACCGCCTGCTGGGCAGCCGGGAGGACGAGGGTGAGGACTGGGCCCAGTGCCTGGCACTGGGGCGCAGGGAGCCGGGAGGGCGAGGGTGAGGATAGGGCCCAGCACTGAAGCTGGGGCCCAGGGAGCCAGGACTGGCATTTGAAAAGCTCCGGATGGACCATGAGTTTGGGGTTAATAAGGAAACCAGACGTTGGGTTGGGTTTGTTTTGTTTTGTTTTGTTTTTGAGACAGGGTCTCATTCTGTCGCCCAGGCTGGAGTGCAGTGGTGCAATCATAGCTCACAGCAGCCTCCACCTCCTGGGATCAAGTGATTCTCCCACCTCAGCCTTCCGAGTAGCTGGGACTACAGGTGCGTCCACCACACCCAGCTAATTTTTGTTATTTTTAGTAGAGACGAGGTTTCACCATGGTGGCCAGGATGGTCTCTAACTCATGACCTCGTGATCCGCCCGCCTCAGCCTCCCAAAGTGCTGGGATTACAGGTGTGAGCCACCGAGTGGCTGGGACTACAGGGGCTTGCCCACAAACATGGCTAAATTTTTCATTTTTTGTAGAGACAGAATCTTGCTATATGGCCCAGTCTGGTCTCAAACTCCTGGCCTCAAGTAATCCCCCCACCTGGGCCTCCCAAAGTGCTGGGATTACAGGCATGAGCCACTGAGCCAGGATGTTTTATTGTAGGCTAAAATGACCACTTTTGTGGGTCAAAAAGCGGATGAATATCAGCAATATTTGGCATTTGGACCTGAGTTCAATTTGACTCAGAATATTAAAATTAGAAGGGGTCTTTAAGGACATTTCACAGATGGGAAATTAGGTGCAGAGGGCTAGAGAGATGGGCTCAAGGCTGTGGTGCCAGTGACACTGGCTTCCCCCGGGTTGTCCTTTGTTCTCGAACATTACACCACGCAGCAGCAGAACAAAGATAAAGAATCAATTCCAAAACCAGGTGCGGTGGCTTATACCTATAATCCCAGCACTTTGGGAGGCCAAGGTGGGAGGATCTTTTGGGTCCTGAAGTTTGAGACCAGCCTGGGCAACATAGTGAGACCCCATCTCTTAAAAAAAAAAAAAAAAGGCAGCTGGGCACAGTGGCTCAGGCCTGTAATTCCAGCACTTTGGGAGGCCAAGGCGGGTGGATCACCTGAGGTCAGGAGTTTGAGACACGCCTGGCCAACATGCTGAAACTCTGTCTCTACAAAAAAATACAAAAATTAGCTGGGCGTGGTGGCGGGCGCCTGTAATCCCAGCTACTCGGGAGGCTGAGGCAGCAGAATTGCTTGAACCCGGGAGGTGGAGGTTGCAGTGAGCCAAGATTGTGTCACTTCACTCCAGCCTGGGTAAAACAGTGAGACTCCATCTCAAAAAAGAAAAAGCAAAAATTAGCCAGTGGGGTGGAGCATTCCTGTATATCCAGCTACTGGAGAGACTGAGGCCCCATCTCCAGAAAAAGAAAAGCAAGCCCAGCTCCCCATTTAGCTTAGCTGGATGAGCTCAACTGAGCCCAGCTCAGATGGAGGAGCTGAGGTGGGAAGAGTCTTGTGTTGCTGACTCCAGGCCATGGCTGTTCACCAGGTCATGGCTGGAGGCTCTGGGGAGGGGAGGGGAGGGGTGTGCTGAGGGTGAGGTTGGACCAGGGACAGGCAGGACCAGCACCTTCTCCACACCACCGGCGGCCACCACATGGTTGTCCTTCACCATCACCAGTCCTCCCAGGTCGTAGCGGTGTGAGGCAGCCCCGCCCACCAGGAGCCCGTACTTCTCCACCAGCCGGAAGCCTGGTGTGGTCTTCCTCGTGCCGGCCACGTGCCCAGTCCAGCCGGCCCCCCTGGCAGCCTCCACTGCAGCGGCGGCAGCACTGGCAATGCCACTGCAGCGGGCCAGCGTGTTGAGGGCCACCCGTTCCCCCAGCAGCAGGCTGTGGGCAGGGCCCCGGACCTCAGCCACTCTGGCCACCGGCACCAGCTTCGATCCCTCAGGGAGGAACCAGGAGACTTGGCAGTTGAGTTGGGTAAAGATGGCATCGAAAAAAGGCCGCCCTGCCAGTACCCCAGGGGATTTGGCCCACAGCACTGCCTGCGAGGGGCCTGCCCCGCTGACCAAGGCTGCGTAGTTGAGCCCTGGGCAGTCCTCTCGGAGCCAGCTGTCCACCAGGGCTGCCAGGGTGACGGGCGGCAGCAGCAGTGCCAGGCCTGGAGGGAAACAGAGAACAGCTGTTGAGTTTGGCTGCCTCTCCTGCTGTCAGGGATCATTGTCAAAATATTTAACAACCAGTGAAACTGGGCACTGGCCCATCAGCCTCAAGATCTAGGGGTTCCAGTGGAGGGGCTGCAGTGAGGAAAGGGGGTGTGGGGGGAAGGGGGGTTGTGGGGGCGAGGATTGGGGAGTGCTGTGGGCTGGACGAGGTCACTGGGCACCTAGTTAAATTTAAACTTCTGGGCCGGGCGCAGTGGCCTCACGCCTGTAATCCCAGCACTTTGGAGGCCGAGGCGGGCAGATCACGAGGTCAGGAGATCAAGACCATCCTGGCTAACATGGTGAAACCCCCGTCTCTACAAAAATACAAAAAAAATTTAAGCCCAGGCATGGTGGTGGCGTGCCTAATAGTCCCCACGCTACTCAGGAGGCTGAGGTAGGAGAATGGTGTGAACCTGGGAGGCAGAGCTTGCAGTGAGCAGAGACTGTGGCCACTGCACTTCAGCCGAGGTGGACAGAGCAAGACCCCGTCTCAAAAAAAAAAAAAAAAAAAATTTAAACTTCTGATCAGGTGGTGGGGTGGCTCATGCCTGTAATTCCAACACTTTGGAAGCCCGAGGCAGGCAGACCACTTGAGGTCAGGAGTTTCGAGACCCACCTGGCCAACATAGTCTCTACTCAAAAATACAAAAATTAGCCAGGCGTGGGGGTGGGCACCTGTAATCCCATCATAGTTTTGTTCCAATACTCACGAGTTGCAGCATTCAAATTCACTTTTTAAAAAAATTCAGTCTGGCCAGGAAGCGGTGGCTCACACCTGTAATCCCAGCACTTTGGGAGGCCCATGGCGGGGCGGCGGATCACCCAAGGTCAGGAGTTTGAGACCGAGCCTGGCCAAAATGGTAAAACCCTGTCTCTACTGAAAATACAAAAATTAGCCAGGCGTGGTGGCAGGCGGCCTGCCAATCTCAGGCTACTCGGGAGGGTGAGGCAAGAGAATTGCTTGAACCTGGAAAGCGGAGGGTTGCAGTGAGCCGAGGTCACACCACTGGCAATCCAGCCTGGGTGACAAGAGCAAGAACTCTATCTAAAAAATAATAATAATAAAAATAAAAAATAATAAAATGAGGATGATGGGGCTGGGGACAGTGGCTCATGCTTGGTAATCCAACAACTGTGGGAGGCTTGAGGGGCAGGTGGATCACCTGGAGGTCAGGGAATTTCAAGACCAGCCTGGCCAACATGGTGAAAACCTGAAAAAATTAGCCGAGTGTAGTGGGGCACGCCTGTAACCCTAGCTACTGGGGGAGGCTGAAAGCAGGGAGAATCACATTGAACACAGGAGGCCAGAGATTGAAGTGAGGCTGAGAGGTCGTGCCACTGCACTCCAGCCTGGGTGACAGAGCCAAGACTCTGTCTCAAAAAAAAAAAAAAAAAAGGGATGATGATGGAAGGTGGGGAATGTTTACGGGTACCAAAAAAAAAAAAAATAGAATGAATAAGGACCTACTATTTGCTAGCACAACAGGGTGACTATAGTCAACAATAACTGGTACATTTCAAAATAACTAAAAGAATGCAATTGGATTATAACAGAAAGGTTTTAAATGCTTAAGGGGATGAGACACCCCATTCCTCCATGACGTAATTTTTTTTTTTTTTTTTTTTTTTTTTGAGACAGAATCTCACTCTTGTTGCCCAGCTGGAGTGCAATGGAGTGATCTCGGCTGGCTTCAACCTCAGCCTTCCTGGATTCAAGCGATTTTCCTACCTCGGCCTCCCGAGTGGCTGGGGTTACAGCCGCCTGCCACCACACCCAGCTAAAATTTGTATTTTTAGTAGAGACCGGTTTCACCATGTTGGCCAGGCTGGTCTCGGACTCCTGACCTTGTGATTCGCCTGCTCCGCCTCCCAAAGTGCTGGGATTACAGGTGTGAGCCACTGTGCCCGCGCTAACCTGAATTTTTATTTATTTATTTATTTATTTGAGACAGAAGTCTCGCTCTGTCGCCACTGTGGTGCCTGCAGTGGCCTGGCGACTGCAGAGGTGCAATCTCGGTGTGAGCCACCCGTGCCTGGCCCATGATGTTATTATCATGCATTGCATGCTTTACCAATATGCACCCGGCCGGGCGCGCGGTGGCTCAAGCCTGTAATCCCAGCACTTTGGGAGGCCGAGACGGGGATCACGAGGTCAGAGATCGAGACCATCCTTGGCTAACACGTTGAAACCCCGTCTCTACTAAAAAATACAAAAAACTAGCCGGGCGAGGTGGCTGGCGCTGTAGTCCCAGCTACTCGGGAGGCTGAGGCAGGAGAATGGCGTAAACCAGGAGGCGCAGCTTGCAGTGAGCTGAGATCCCGCCACTGCACTCCAGCCTGGGCGACAGAGCAAGACTCCGTCTCAAAAAAAAAAAAAAAAAAATGCACCAATAAATATACACACCTACTATTATACCCACACTTTTTTTTTTTTTTTTTAAATAAGGTGGACGTGGGGAAGGTCCCTTACGCCCTAGGCATAGCCCGTGATGGGCCCTGCATGGCTGTGGGCAGAGGCAAACCCAGGCGCGGTGCAACAGCGCCATCTATCTGCGGGGTGAAGACCTGCAGCCTCATGGGCCTTCACCATCCGTGGACTTGGCTTCCCCTTGAGGGGGACACAGAGGCAGCGAGGGTGTTTGATTTAGCGCGCACACACGTGCACGCACACGCACATACACGAGCACACAGCACACTTCTGCTCCAAGTAGAAGTGAAGGCCAGACATCCTGGCTTGGTCTGCTCTACGAAGCAGGCCCTCTCTTGTCTACTTCCCCAGAGCCAAGCTGCTGAGTCTCCACTCACCCCACCTCCCCTCCGAGCCACAAGCCTCCTGGACTGCACCAGGCTCTCCTTCGCCACGTTCTCTCCCACATCTGCCCCAGACGGCTCCTGCTCCTCCACTAAGAGCCAGCTGTACTGAGGCTGGGCGCTGGCTCTGTTGGTCACATCCAGCTACGGAAAAGGCCTGGGAGCAAACAGCAGGGAGTGAGAGCCTAATCCCCCACTCCCACTCCATTCAAACCAGGTGCAGTGCAGTGGCGCGATCACGACTCACTGCAGCCTCAGCTGCCCAGGCTCAAGCAATCCTGTCGCCTCAGCTTCCCGGGGAAATGGGACTACAGGCGCACAGCAACCATGCCCAGCTAATTTTTGTATATGTTTTGTTGTAGAGATAGGGGTCTCACTATATTCCCCAGGCTGGTCTTGAACTCCCAGGCTCAAGCAATCCTTGCACCTCAGCCTCTCAAAGTCCTGAGATTACAGGGGTGCGCCACTGTGCCAATCTTGATTTTTTTTTTTTTTTTTTTTTTGATCCAGAGTTTCACATTTTTGCCCAGGCTGGAGTGAAGTGGTGGGATCTCGGCTCACTGCAACCTCCATCCCCCGGATTCCAGCGATTCTTCTGCCTCAGCCTCCCAAGTAGCTGGGATTACAGGCGCCCACCACCACGCAAGGCTGATTTTTGTATTTTTAGTAGAGAGAGGGTTTTACCATTTTGGCCAGGCTGGTCCCAAACTCCTGACCTCAGGTGAGCTGCCCGCCTCGGCCTCCCAAAGTGCTGGGATTACAGGCGTGAGCCACCACGCCTGGCCAGCCTGATTTTTTTTTTTTCTTTTTTTCAGGCTGATTTTTTAAAAGTGAATTTGAATTCTGCAACTGGTAAGTATTGGGGAAACAACCTGTGATGCAGGCTGGGCACCATGGTTCACGCCTGTAATTCCAGCGCTTTGTGAGGCCAAGGTGGGCAGATCACAAGGTCAGGAGCTCAAGACCAGCCTGGTCAACATGGGGAAACCCCATCTCTATGAAAATACAAAAACTAGCCAGGCGTGGTGGCACGCGCCTGTAATCCCAGCTACTCGGGAAGCTGAGGCGGGATAATCGCTTGAATCAGGGAGGCGGAGGTTGCAGTGAGCTGAGATCATGCCACTGCACTCCAGCCTGGATGACAGAGTGATAATCCATCTCAAAAAAAGAAGAAACCTACTACTGATACACACAACAATAGGGACCTGTCTCAAATGTATCATTCTAACTAAAAGGAGCCAGATCCAAAAGGCCGTATGATCCCATTCACGCAGCATCCTGGGAAAGGCAAAACTGTAGGCACAGAGCAAATCAGTGTTACCTGGGGAGTGGGAGGAGTTGACCACTGAGATCTGGTGAGGTCGCAGAGAAAAAGGAACACTTATACACTGTTGGTGGGAGTGTAAATTAGTTAAACCATAGTGGAGGACAGTGCAGCAATTTCTCAAAGACCAAAAACCAGAAATACCATTCGACCCAGCAATCCCATTACTGGGTATATACCCAAAGTAAACCATTCTGTTATAAAGACACATCACAGCACTATTCACCATAGGAAAGACGTGATTCAACCTAAATGCCCATCAGTGGTAGACTGGATAAAGAAAGTGTGGTACACATACACCATGGAATACTATGCAGCCATAGAAAAGAATGAGATCACGTTCTTTGCAGGGACACGGAGGGAGCTGGAGGCCATTATCCTTAGCAAACAAATGCAGGAACAGAAAACCAAATATCACATGTTCTCACTTATAAGTGGGAGCTAAATGATGAGAACACATGGACACATAGAGGGGAACAACACATACTGGGGCCTATCAGAGGGTGGAAGTTTGGAGGAGGGAGAGGATCAGGAAAAATAACTAATGGGTACTACACTTAATACCTGGGGGACTAAATAATATGTACAACCCCCATGACATAAGTTTACCTATGTAATAAACCTGCACATGTATACCCCTGAACTTAAAAGTTAAATTTAAGGCTGGGCATGGTGGCTCACACCTGTAATCCCAGCACTTTGGGAGGCCAAGGTGGGTTGATCACCTAAGGTCAGGAGTTCAAGACCAGCCTGTCCAACATGGCAAAACCCCATCTCTACTAAAAACACAAAAGTTAACTAGCCGTGGTGGCAGGCACC